TAGATTGGTCAGATCCATCCCCTGGGTCTGGGAAAGGTCTACCTTCCTTGAGTACATTGCTGTTGCCAGAGATCAATACTCCTAGAGCTAAATTCTAGGGCTATGGTGATGAATCATATCTCAGGATACAGTCCCATCTCCCAGGAGCTGGGTGAATGCATGTCTATTTGCGGCTGCCCAGGGAGATCTGCACGGTGCTGCATTGGCCCTGACATCAAAAGGCCCTGGGGTCAGTGTAGGAACCTTGGGTTCTGGGACCTGCTCTGCTCAGACTCTTTGAGGAATTGAGAAAGAGCCTCTGCTCTCCGGACCTGTTTCCTTCAGAGAAACGCAGCCTGTTGTGGGATGTGCATACAGCATTGCACAGAATCAGCCTGGGCTACGCCACCCATGGGAACAGGCAAGCGGAAGCCTGTGTTTGTCTGTCTCTCCCTGTGCCACTAGAGCTACGGGAGCTAGTAATTTCCAACCAAAGGGACTTCTATGCCCATTTTCTAGAAAATTCCCTGGAGCCAACCTGTGGGGATAAACCCCCAGACATGAAAGCAAGATACACTGAAGAAGTGGACCTGGGAAGGACTTGAACTGTGAGGCCACTGGTGTGCATGCCTATAAAATAGGACACAAGTCAACACATCACTTATTGTACAGGATTGTGTAAGAAAAGTATTGAAATATGCAGTGCCAGGGTATGTATCAACTTGGGGAAAAGAAGGCAGAGAAAGGAATGGGGTGTGGCTTTGGTTGTATGTGAAATGCTTTTTCTCTTAAAAGGCACTTTTTTTCAGAAAGGAATATACTTGTCTGTTGGGATGCTAATGCCACAAGAGTAGTCACTGCTCCCTCGGTGAATTTCTTGCCAGGGCTCAGGAGCTGAGGGTCTTAGGAACGTTAAACACCTCCAGGGACCAGCCTTCCTGCTGACATACTCCAAGAACCAACTGGGTGGAGAAGAAAACTAGTGACCCAGGGCTTCAATCATGAGCCACTCAGCTTCTACTGGCAGAGGCAGGTAAGTGAGAGAGAAGCTTAGTTACATCCAGAGCAACTGCAGGCTCTGCCAGAAGAAGCTGGACCTGTGAGCCACTCTTGGCTTCAACCTTGCTCTTAGTCCACAGCTTTGTGCAAAAGAGAACTTGGCATCGAAGTGAAATGTCACTATTTGAAGGAGACTCTACCAACGCTGGACAGTACTTGCTGTCTCACTCAGTCACCCCACCTTGTCCTGTTGCTTCCAAAGAGGGAAATTTGTGAAAAGAAGTTTGTGAGCCATGCTGAGAACTCTGCACATGGAGAGAGAGGAGAGGGCCAGGTTCTCGTGGGGACCCAGGCCATGGCGTGTAAGAGTGGACACGACAGGCCAGAATAGCCCAGGCCATACCCTGTGTCACTCCTCCTAGCTTAGTGACCTGAGGCAAGTTTCCTGGATATCTCTGCAGCTCAGCCTTCCCCTTGGTAAGCATTGCTAATAGCAGTAACTGCCCCTGGGTTGTTGCAAGGTTAACAAAACGAACGATTCAGAAGAATGCATGGTACAGTGAGGGATCAGTATATGTTAGTTTTTATTATTTTTATTGATTTACCAACTACTGTGATTTTGAGTGAGAAGGTTTCACCGAACTTTAGGGGGTCTCACCCTACCTCAAAGCATTATCCTGGGACACAAGGAGATTTTACAAGGGCCACCCACTGCAAATTCATAATAGGATTCAGACTCTCCTCACCTCCATCTCATCGACATAGACAAGGGAGGCTCAGCCTGACATCTACATCAGAATTTCCTCAGGGTTTTATACATTTTTTTTTCAAAGAATGAAACCATCATAATATTCTAAATATTTACTGTTAACTATTTATACAAGAAAAGGAAATAAACTAAAATAAGGAGATTAATCCATGGGAGGTCACAACTGGAGGTCATTTTCTTAGATGGTAATTTCAGTTTTTGTTTAAACCATAGTCCTTGGAAGTGCATGTCTAACTAGGTATCCAGGGATGTAACTTTGGATTCTTTATTCTTTATTATCTGTGCCCTTCAATGACACACCTTGAGAAACAGACTTGTGGCTGAACAAGTTGAGTTTATTGCTCATTAAAATGAGGGCAAACACCATGGAGAACTGTGGGGTCTCTCGGTAAAGAGCACGTTAGAAAGAGCATCGTAGGATCCAAAGCTTGAGTTAGGTTCTTGTCTTCAGCAGTTCAGGCTGCTATAACAAAGTACCATAGACTAGGTGGCTTATAAGCAACAGCAATTTATGCCTCACAGTTCTTGATGCTAGGAGGACTAAGATCATGGTGCTAGCAAGGTTAGATTCCAGTGAGGATCTTCTTTCCATGTTGTATACTGCCAATTTCTTGTTGTATCCTCATGTGGTAGACAGAGGGCAAGAGAGCTCTCTGGGGCCCCTTTTATGAAAACACTAATCCCACTCTTTGGGGCTCCACCCTCATGCCCAGAACAGCTCCCAAGGCCCCACACCTCCTAATTATCACCTTGAGAGTTAGGATTTCACAAAGGAATTTGGGGGAACACAAACATTCAGTCCTTAATAGTGCTTTAGGGGAAATTTTGAGTGATTGAATCTCTGTTCTGAAGTTGATGCTTTCAGGAAGAGGTGTTAACTCTATAGTTGGATATCTTAAAAAAATCGTATCTAGAATTTGGGAGGAAGTGAGGTTAAAGCTGTGATTGGTAATGTAGCCACTGTTGCTCATATTAGCCAGGGGAGAGAGGTGTTTCATCAGTTGTATAGGTTAGACAATGTCCATATTCCTTTCTGTATTCAGATGTTAATGGAAAAAGACCCAACCTCTGTAAAATGATTTTAAAAGGTTTATTCTGAGCTGAATGTGTGCCAGCCCAGAGCACATGGCCTCAAGAGGTCTTGAAGAAAGGTGCCCAGGGTAGCTGGGTTATAGTTTGGCTCTATACTTTAATGGAACAGGAATTACACGTAAGACCCTAAGTCAGTATATGGGGGTGGCTGTACATTGGTTTGGCCTAAAAAGGTGGGACATCTCAAAGCAGAAAGGAGGGAGACTATAGGTTATAGATGGGGTTTAAAGATTCTTTGATTTGTATTGGATAAAGAAATGAAGCTTTGTCTAAAGACATGGCAAGTTTTAACTTAAGAATATGTGTTAATCAGAGACAAGCTACCAGATATTTACTGAAACTCAAGCGATCTGTTAAGTAAATTGATGGCCTATAGGTGTGGTTGAGCTTTGTTTTGTATAGCCTTAGGCCTGTTGATTTAGCATCTTATTGATATAAAGAATAATATTTCCAAAAAGGGTGGGAGGCATGACAAAACATGTCTGACCTCCCTTCTCATAGCCAGAAACCCAGGTTTTGGGGGGGTTCCCTTGGCAAAGAGGGGGTACATTCAGTCAGCTGAGGGGCTTGAGATTTTATTTTCATTCACAAGTCCCCATTTTTGGTCAAGATCTTCCAGAAGCAGCATTGAGGGCCAAACTTTTATTTTGTCCCATTGTTGCTGGGTAGTGTGGATACCTATGACAGGTCCATCCAGGCCCTCAGTGGGATCCCCGTGGCCAAGGAACTTATAGCTGTGGACATGAGGGGGAAACTTCCTTTTCCCTGAAAGTTCACCAAACGATCAACTCATAATTAAGAAGGATTAATAAGAAAAAGAGGCTTATTTACCATGCCCATAGGGAGAATCACAGTGATGACCCAGTATTCCAGTGGGGTCTAGAGATTTTTATACCCTCCTTTTAGAGGTGAGGAGGAGATGAGGAAATATGTAATTTTGTTTAGGGGTGATAAATGGTTATAAGGGAGAATGAATGGATGCCAGAAAGAGCTTGACTTTGTAAATGATTCTCTTTGCAAATTAAATTAACCTGAGATACAGGTATTATATTTTAAATGATTTGGGCCACATCTGGTTGAATTCTTAATCTTCTTTCCTGCACTATAGTGAGATAACAGTGAAGGGAAGGGAATTTGTTCTTTTTTATGGGTCCATCTGGTTAATGCAGTTAGAAGGAAGCCCCTTCCAACACCTATTGATCTCTAAGGGCCTTTAATTCAAAATATTCTTTGTACCAAGGAGTCATATTCTGGGATGAAATTTCCTGAGCTCCTTCATTCCCCTCATCTGGAACTTCCCTAGAAGTTTCACACATTAAAAGTCAAGTAGGTGACTATGGAGAAAGAGATCTGGGTAGCAGTCAAGTAACAAGAGATCTGAAAAAAGAGACAAGAACATGGATGAAAATGAAAATAAATAAGTAGAAAAGATTTCCCCACACCTCATCAAAACTGTCTCCCATTTTAAGGAATAGGTCTTCATTAATCTGATGAAGAATATTTGTCTTTTCTTTTAAGAGTTGTAGATTAGTCTTTACTTGCCTAGAGTAGTTTATGTAAAAATAGCATTTTTTTTGCCAATAACCACACAAGTTCCTCCCTGTTGAGCTGTCAGGGTATCCAGAACACACAGTTTTGGAATACAACAGTGTCTAGGCTGTTGACTTCTAAGTGAAGTGCCCCCAATGCTTGCAGAGTGACATTGAACTCTTGTTCTATTACCTTGGGAAGATTCAAAACTGCCTTTTCAATCACATGAGTTCCAAGTTCTAGGAAAAGAGTCCTGAGCACTGAAAAGCACTTAGAATTGTGATATACAAGTGATTTTTTTTTTAATATAGCATCTAGTACATTTATGTGTTACCACTTTATGAACAAAAAAGCCCAAGTTTGTAGTTTGGCTGGCATTTAAAGTGGAATTGGTAAGAGAGGTATCTGATAACAAAGTCCATAGCGGCCTGACCATCTAGGTAGGGACTTTATCATCACACACAACAAAAGACTAGTGTTATTTACAGAGAGGGTCAGCTTGGAACCTGTGACTTTCCAGTCTGAAGTTTGCTATACTTCCTCTTTCTCATTGGCACTTCTACATCTCCAGTTTCTGTTACAGCCCGACCAGGTTCCTTGCATGCTTCTCAAAAGGAGATCAACACACTGAGACAGCAGAGAAAAAGTTTTATTATCACAGGCACCATGAGGGGAGAGGGGAGTAATTTCACAAATCCATCTTCCTCAAGAATTTGGGAGAAAGGGTTTTTAAAGGTAGTTTGGTGAGCAAAGGGCTAGGGAATGGGGTCTGCTGATTGGCGAGGGATGAGCTCGTAGGGTTGGAATGCAGAAATTATCTTCTCAGTTGGTAGGTCTCCTGCGTAGGAGTTTTCGAGACTGTTGGATCCATTCCCACGTCTATCCACGGGTCTGGTTGGTGTCAGTAGGTCTCCAGGATACAGAGTCTAAGAAAACACCCCCAAAGACCAGTCTTAAGATTTAAACAGCAATGGAGTCAAAAGTCTTGGGATTTACAATAGCAATTTTATCTATGGAAGTAGTGGGGGGAGTCACAAATCTTGTGCTTGTCAGGGAGGATAGTGCAATTAAGTAGTAACTAATTACAGCAGCAAGGAAGTTAGGGAACAATGGCGGTTGATTTCTGGCTATATCCATACTTCTATAAAAATCAAACTTGGATTACTATTTATACTTTGAGGCTTTACATTATTTTAATATGGACAGTTTCATTTCCATGTGTCCCTGCCAGTCTGTGAGAACAAAATAGGTTGTGAAATATTTGATACAAAAGGCCTTTGGTCCAGTTCTGGCAGTTACAGGGCTTGGATTTGTCACCAAATCAAGTCAGTCCAGACTTTTGGTCTTGGGTCCACATGTAATCATTAGTGTCTGGGCAACTTAACAAGGGGAGCAAGCGAGCTACCCTAAGTTGCAGAGGCCTGGCTTGTGAGCAGTCCATAACATCTGATTATTTAACAAGCATTAACATCATGAGGGTTAGTGTCAGCATCACCTCAAAAGTACAAGAATGCCATCTGTAGAATCAAACCGTAGGGTTTGATCACAATATTGCCCTAGAATGTCACCCAGATGAGATAAAAATTTTCTCTCTAGTGACCTTACCTGAGCAAAAGATACTTTTTCCATTTCAGTTAACTCACCAACAGGAGAAGTACCATAATATATTTTCTTTGGTTGTGGCTGCCACTTCTTGTCCTACATCCCTCTTCCAGACCAGTTCCACCTGGCACTCATTGTCAGAAACAAAAATGAGCTCGGATTCCTCTCTATGATCTATATGTTGGCATAACTGGCAATTAGATTGATTAGTTAGTGTGGCCAGGGTTTGAAAGACTGGTGCAAAAGGATGCTGGGTCTTGTGTCTGACCTGCTGGAAAAGCAGTAAGAGTTAGTAAGAGCAAGTCATAGTTTGAAAGAAAAGTCAGAGTGGAAAATTAAAAGAGAAATTGGGATAGGTTGAGGCCATCTCCACTCAGCTTCCCATGTGCAATCCTCAAACGAGGAAGCTTAAAAGAAAAAGTGTTCATGAAGAACTATTTTTGTGGGGAAGGGATAAAAAGAGAAACAAAAAAACAGAAAAAAAGGGGATTTTAGATAAAAAATGTAGTTTCCTTATCTAAGATATTGGGAAAAACCTCTCTACTTTGTGAAAATGTCTGCTTCAGGGCCCTGGGGACTAGACCTGGAAATCCTTACGTTCAGGTCACCTGTAGGGGTGGTCTTCCAGCTGTCCCAGTGCAGTTTGGTATAGATTACATGAATCTGGGAAAATTTTTCTTTTATTTTGATGGCGGTATGGGTGGTTAACAGTACTTCATAGACTTCATAGGGGCAATCACAGAGACATGAAAGTACATGTCTTTTTCTAAAAATTTTCACACATACAAAATCTCTTGGTCCAAAAGGATGGCAAAGCCAGTGAATGGGTGGAAGCCATGATCCATTCACCTACAGATGATATGCTTCAAGCATATTAGTTGGTGTCTGTATATGGCTAGTCTTGGTATAGAATTGTTCACTTAAATCCCAACACTGTCGAGATACCACAACTTAAGAAATTTCTCAATAACAAACTACACAAGAAAAATAAATAAATAAGGAATATAATACTTCAAATTAAGAGGCTTAACATCCAATTCTTCGTAATAAGGAACAACAAACTGTAGTCTAGGGGTCAGTGTAGTGGATCATAGTGTGCTGATTGTGGGCAGGAATGCACAGGGTTTCAGCACTGAGTCATTTCCCAACACTCACATGTGCCTCAGGTTCTCTCTCCAGGGGTTTAACTCCATCTAGAGGGGTCAAAACGCCAAGGGATCAGCTCTTATGTGAGTTTCCTGGAGGAGCCTTCTTTTAATTAATCTTGTTGGGGATTCCTTATAGGGCCACTCCAAGGGCAGTCATCCCAGACACTCGCACTCGCACCCCCAGTCACCCAGGCGTACCTTTGGCTGGGACGGGTAAATGCCCTTTCTCTTCGGAGCTGAGGAACTCAGTCTCTCACTTATCTACAAACAGGACAGTTCGGTTTCCTCTTTCATTTCACAAATGCCCAGAAGTCAACTGAGATCAATTTGGGGAGGAAAAGGCCATGAACGGAGAAGATGCTCTACAGAGCACTAACAGGGCAGGGGCACTCTGAGCTTTAAAAGCCTCTTTTTTCCTTTATTTTTTTTCTCCTATTCTCTCCATCAGTGGAGAATGATTGTTCAATTTTTGTATCTTAGCTTGAAATGGCTGTAAGATCTTCAACTAGCCTTGAATTACGAATACCATAAACATTGTCTCTATCTCAAGAGCAGTAGGAGAAGTTAGCAGGTTCAGAGTTGGCAGAATAGAAAACAGAGAGCTCAAGAAACTAGACATTTTTAATTCATAGTGGGAGGATGACCACTTGAGCTATGAATTTTCCTAGATGCAGGTGGCCCTTCACTTGAAACTCGAGCACAAGAATAAGCCATAACCAGCTGCAGCCCTAGCATACCTGAACGTTTTGAATCTCTTTGTTTACAAACATACTTGCAAGAAGAGGTGCAATAAACAAACCAGGGTGCCCAGATGGCTTCATTCTCCTTGTCTCTCCTCATGTTTAGAGGATTGGTTTCCCGTTTTTCTTTACAAGAGGCAACCGAACTGTGGTCTAGGGGTCAGTGTCATGGATCAGAATGTGCTGATTATGGGCAGGACTGCATAGGGATTCACCACTGAGTCATTTCTCGCCTCTCACATGGGCCTCAGGTTCTCTCTCCAGGGGTCTAATACCTCTGCCAGGGCTCAAAACGCTGAGTGATCAGCTCTTACCTGTGTTTCCTAGAGGAGCCTTCTTTTAAATAATCTTGTTGGGAATTCCCTATAGGGCCACGTCACACCAGGGGCAGTCTCCCCAGGCACTGCCACTCGCACCCCCCCCAGTCACCCAGGTGTACCCTTTGGCTGAGACTGTTAAATGCCCTTTCTCTTGGGAGCTGAGGAATCTCAGTCTCTCATTTATCTACAAACAGGGCAGTTTGGTTTCCTCTTTCATTTCACAAATGGCCAGAAAAGCCAATTGAGATGAATTTGGGGAGGAAGAGGCCATGAATGGAGTAGACCCTTTACAGAGCACCAACAGCATGGTGGCAGTTTGAGTTGTAAAAGCCCTTCAATCCTTTACTATTTTGCCTTTTCTTTTCATCAGTGGAGAATGATTGTTCAATTTTTGCATCTTAGTGTGTGTAGGATCTTACTGGCTATAATATCTCCAACTAGCCTTGAATTACAAATACCATAAACATTGTCTCTATCTCAAGAGCAGTAGGAAAAGTTACCAGGTTCAGAGTTGGCAGAATAGAAAACAAGGAGTTCGAGAGACTGGAATTTTAAATTCATAGTGGCAGGTTGACCACTTCAGCTATGAATTTTCCAGGATGCAAGTGGCACTTCAGTTAAAATCCATGCACAAGAATAGCCTATAACCATCTGCAGTCCTAGCATACCTGAACATTTTGAATCTTTTCCTTAACACACATCCTTGCAAGTACAGGTGCCGTAAACAAACCAGGGTGCCCAGATGGCTTCATTCTCCTTATCTCTCCACACATTAAAGGACTGGTTTCCCGTATTTCTTTACAAGAAGCAACCGAACTGTGGTCTAGGGGTCAGTGTCGTGGATCAGAGTGTGCTGATTGTGGGCAGGACTGCACAGGGATTCACCACTGAGTCATTTCCCGCCTCTCACATGGGCCTCAGGTTCTCTCTCCAGGGGTCTAACACCTCTGAGAGGGCTCAAAACGCTGAGTGATCAGCTCTTATGTGCGTTTCCTGGAGGAGCCTTCTTTTAATTAATCTTGTTGGGGATTCCCTATAGGGCCACCTCACGCCACAGACAGTCTCCCCAGGCACTCCCAATCCCACCGCCACTCACCCGGGTGTATCTTTGGCTGGGACGGGTAATTGCCCTTTCTTTTCGGAGCTGAGGAACCTCAGTCTCTCATTTATCTACAAACAGGACAGTTCGGTTTCCTCTTTCATTTCACAAATGGCCACAAAAGCCAACTGAGATCAATTTGAGGAGGAAGAGGCCATGAATGGAGAAGACCCTTTACAGAGCACCAACAGTACGGTGGGAGTCTGAGCTTTAAAACCCCTTTTCTCCTTTATTTTTTTCTCCTATTCTCTCCATCAATGCAGAATGATTGTTCAATTTTTGTATCTTAACTTGAACTAGCTGTAAGACCTCCAACTAACCTTGAATTATGAATACCATAAACATTGTCTCTATCTCAAGAGCAGTAGGAGAAGTTAGCAGGTTCAGAGTTGGCAGAATAGAAAACAGACAGAGAGCTAGATAGACTGGAATTTTAAATTCTTAGGGGCAGATTGACAACTTGAGCTATGAATTTTCCTAGATGCCAGTGGCCCTTCACTTGAAACACGAGCACAAGAATAGGCCATAACCAGCTGCAGCCCTAGCATACCTGCACATTTTTAATCTCTGTTTACACATATACTTGCAAGAGGAGGTGCAATAAACAAACCGGGTGCACAGATGGCTTCATTCTCCTTGTCTCTCCTCATGTTTAGAGGATTGGTTTCCCGTTTTTCTTTACAAGAAGCAACCAAACTGTGGTCTAGGGGTCAGTGTCGTGGATCAGAGTGTGCTGATTGTGGGCAGGACTGCACAGGGATTCACCACTGAGTCATTTCCCTCCTCTCACATGGGCCTCAGGTTCTCTCTCCAGGGGTCTAACACCTCTGAGAGGGCTCAAAACGCTGAGTGATCAGCTCTTATGTGCGTTTCCTGGAGGAGCCTTCTTTTAATTAATCTTGTTGGGGATTCCCTATAGGGCCACGTCACACCACGGGCAGTCACCCCAGGCACTCCCACTCCCACCCCCAGTCACCCAGGCATACCTTTGGCTGGGACGGGTAAATGCCCTTTCTCTTCGGAGCTGAGGAATCTCAGTCTCTCATTTATCTACAAACAGGACAGTTCGGTTTCCTCTTTCATTTCACAAATGGCCCGAAAAGGCAATTGAGATCAATTTGGGGAGGAAGAGGCCATGAATGGAGAACATCCTTTACAAAGCACCAACAGCATGGTGGCAGTTTGAGTTGTAAAAGCTCTTTTCTCCTTTACTTTTTTTCCTTTTCTTTCCATCAGTGGAGAATGATTGTTCAATTTTTGTATCTTAGTGGCTGTAAGATCTTACTGGCTATAAGACCTCCAACTAGCCTTGAATTACAAATACCATAAACATTGTCTCTATCTCAAGAGCAATAGGAGAAGTTACCAGGTTCAGAGTTGGCAGAAGAGAAAACAGACAGACAGAGACCTGGAGTCTGGAATTTTAAATTCATAGTTGCAGGTTGACCACTGTAGCTAGGAATTTTCCAGGATGCAAGTGGCACTTTAGTTAAAACACATGCACAAATATAGGCCATAACCATCTGCCATCCTAGCATACCTGAACGTTTTGAATCTTTTCCTTAACA